CGGGTCTCCAGACCAAACCTATCCCATATCCCCCCACTACTGCCAAGGAGAAACGTTGGAAATTCGGCCTCAAGGGGCTGGGGGCGGGCGGGTTTAACCTACCGGAAGTAGTTTTGAGTGGGGCCACTCTAGGACTCCAGAACCCGCAGGTTCCATGAACTCAGTGGTCCCAGGACCATGAAAATGAAGGCCTCATCAAAAAAGATGGTGGTACTCTAGCGTCTTTCAAGTTTAGAGAAAGACATTTAACAGCTTCAATGTCAGTCTGGTGTTGATGACCTCGTTTATTAACCCCCTCAAATTTCGACTTTTGCTGTTCTGAAAGCTGCTTTGAGAGCGCCCCTTGCCCGTAGTTAAGATGGCCACAGCCACTTCAGCGTCAGATGTTGGGCTGGTGAAAGGTGAGGCTGGGTGCGTGGGCGACGGAGGTGGGAGGGGTTGGGCAAAAGGGGAAATAAGGTCAGGAGGCCTCTCGCCTGATGTTCCCTTCTCAATCCATGCAACAAGACCCACTTAGTGACCGTTGTTTAAGAAAAAATACTTTCTGGCAAACTAGTTTACTTCTCAATTTCTTTTTTCATTTACAAGTTACAGAATAATATTCTGTGAAGCCTCCTCCCACCCTATTCCTAACGGTTTCTTAAATATCCCTCCAAAGATTGTTTATCTATGTACTATGTATGTGTCTATCTCCATCTGTGGTATTTCCACACATTTACTAGCTCTTTAACTGAGGACATTGGGCCAAATGCCTCTCAGTGCCTTAGAGTTCAGTTATTTCACAGAAGAGGAAGCTAAGTCCGAGTTGTTTACCCAAGGCAGGCAGCCTATTAATGACGCTCAGTCTTCAGACTCCTAAATTTGAGACATTTCCACTCCTTCCTGCTGCCTACTCCAGGCCGGATCCAGAAAAGCAACATGAATACTTTGAATTTACTGACCCCTGCTAACCTTGTGAAAACGAACTGAAGTCTCAACTTACTAAGTTGTAATTGTATAAACAATTGGATGACAGGGCTGGTTGTTGTAATGTTCCATTTAAATGTGCTTCCCGATTTCCCGATTCCAAGCTCTCCTAACAGAACAGAATATGCAAGAGCTGCTCTTGGTTCTGTGATGTGACTAAGACATGAATAACCTTTGCTTACCTTGACCGATCACTTACTATATGCCAGATTCTGTTCTAAGTGCTTTTGCCTGTTCACTCATTTAACCCTCACAACACTTAAGAGAGAAATGCTCTTCTGAATCATGAGGCTGAGGCACAGAGGGATGACTTTGCCTTAAGCCTCATAGCTAGTAAATGGGGAAGGCAGTATTCAAACCCAAGCAATCTTGAAAAGGCACGATTGAGACCCCTGTAGTAGAGGCCTCACAACATCCCAGGCTTCACTTTTTCTGTCCTCATAGCTTAACAATAGATTGTCCTCAGAGGCTTGATCCAGAGCTTGAAATGTCCCTTGCCATAGAAAATTGCCCTGAAACTTATGATTAATGCCTTTCTGCTTATTGATCACAATCCTTCTGGTTTAGCATTCTTTCCAGACTACTCCCATCTTTGTTCCTGAGTTGCTAACGCCACTAGAGAACCACATTGCCAGAGAAATGGCTCCGTGAGGCAAAACAGACCCCCTGGAACCATCACATACCCCCTGGAATAATGCCCAGATTTTTCCTTAAATACCCAGGACTGAGAAACCAAGGCAGTTTCAAAGGTGTTAACCTGCTGCCTTCTCAGATCACAGGTGCTCTGACAATAAACGCCTCTTCTAAATATCCCAAATCCTGTATGAGTCTATTGGTGGGGTGGCACAGGCAGCATGAGCCCTGGACTCAGTTGCCCTCCAGTTTCAGTCTGACTCCAGAACCCATGCTATATTGCCTCAAATTATTGAAGGTACAATCTCAGCAACCAGAGAGGTGAGATTTTAGGCCAGGTTACCAAGATGCAGTTGTAATGTGGGGTAGTGCAAGAAGAGACCTAGGAGGTCAGAAGAGCTGCTCTGGGCACACATACAATTCCATACTGTCATATAAATGTAAAGAGAAAAAATTAAAATAACGAGCTATAATATGACAAATACTGAAAAATAAATAAGAGTGTCATGTCATGGGGAAAAAAAATATGTCATGATTCAGTGTTGGGGAGATATGTGAAATTGCCCTGAAGAAAGGGTGACAGGCTTCACAAAAGATACCCTCTAACATCTCTCAGCGTAGGCTCCTCTTGCTCAGGCCTTTGCTAACTTAGGCCTGGGGTCTCCTAGCTGGTCTCTGGGCTTTCAGCCTTTTGCCTTTCCCATTCATCCAGCACTCCATCCTGGTGTAGTGAAAACAGCAAGAGTACCAACTGAGAATTTGGAAGGTTTGGGTCCAGGCTTACTCCTGCCACTAACTCAACTGTGTGATCTTAAGTAAGGCCCTTCCCCTTTCGAGCCTTAGCCTTTCTCAGAGCCTGTTCTGTGGAACAATATTCCCATGTGACGCTTTGTGGAAAAAGCTTTCTTCCCCATGTCCTTCGGAGAGACCCCTCAATAATGAAACATATTCCAACCTTTGCTTCCCAAACCCTGCTTAAAACATCGAACCAGACAGCTCTAAGAGCTCCCTTCTAGCTCTAAAATGCTATAGTCCACCCTGTCATCGCCCTCAGGGTCACCCCAGGAACTGGGCTTCTCTGTCCTCCTCACTCAGCCAAAAACTTTATCATTGTCTGGGCTTCTTTGATGCTCTCAGCCACATGCAGCCCACAGACAGGCTCTGTCCATTCATCTTCCCGTGTTTACCTCCAGTCCTGCAGCTCTACATCTCCTCTCTACTTGCCCACTGCAGCCCATTCTCAGAGTAGTCACAGTGGGTTTTTAAAATGCAAAGCAGATCACCTTGATACTCTGTTTAATCCTCCCCGCCCCCCAGTGGTTTATATGAGGTACCTAGAATAGTCAAATTCATAGAGACACATATAGAATGGTGGTAGCCAGGGGCTGAGGAAAAGAGGCATAGGGCTTTATTGTCTAATGGATACAAAGTTTCAGTTTGGGAAGATGAAAGAGTTCTGGAGATGGGTGGTGGCAATGGTTACACAACAATGTGGATGTACTTAATGCCACTAAACTGTACATTTACAATGGTAAATTTCGTTACGTATATCATACCACAAAACAAAAACAACCCAGTGACTTCCCAATATATTTAGAATCAAATCTAAACTTTGCATCATGACAAGCCAGAGCACTATGACCTGTACCCTTCCTCCATCTCCAAGCTCATCTGTAAATCTTTTCCTCAGTTCCTCAATCCAGCCACCCGTGTACTTTCTGTACCTCACCCAAACTCATCCTACCTCAGAGCATGGCACTTGCTGTTTCCTGTTTGGAAACCCCTCTACTCATCTCCCAAACCACCCCCCAGCCTCTGATACTCTGCCCTGCCCCACTTGCACATCCTGTGAGGCCAACCCATTTTCCCTTGGCTATTCTCACCATTTGGAACTTAGCTCAAGTGTCTCCTCCTCACCAAGCCCCACATAGGTATTCATCTGCAACAGGCACTTGCAGTACATCTTCTGTTTTGGTTCCTTTGTAGTGCTTATTATTTGCAATATGGTACCTTGTCTTATTTATATATTGGCTTATCACTTGTCTCCCCACCCTACTCAAATGTAAGTTTCAAGAGGATTCCTATGTCTGTTTTCCCAGTTATATTCTGGCACACAGAATAGTATGTAGTACATGGTAAATGCTTACTAGATATGTTAAATTGATAAACAAGAAAGAATGAGCAGACGGCACTCACCCTGTGCCCCATGCTGACCTGGGCAACGCTGCACTTAACACACTGTGCCTGATTCTGTTCCCCTCTCCTTGGTGGTACCTCTTCTCTCCAGCTCCACCTTCTCTTTGACTCACCCTTCTTCGGTATGGTTACCCCTTGGCCTGCACACCCTCCCAATCCCAATTGCCCCTTGCCCAGGTGTTGTGCTCCCTTGCTTCAGCTCTCCATGCTTGAAATCTCTGGGACTTACTTGTTCACAGCTCATATTGTCAGTCACTGAGCCATGCAGATTCTATTGCAAAAGCCTCTCGTGTGTGTATCTTTCTTCCCAATTCCAAGGTCAGGAAACAAAAACAACTGCAAGAAAAGTCTTGCTCTTTAGCTTGGTCCCAGCTCTTGATCACCTCTATCCAGGATCAGATGCCCATCAGGTCTCTAATATCCAGTCTCCTCCCACAGGTCGCACAAAGACATATTCTGATATGTCAAATATGTTCCTGTCAAACAGCCCTGCTCCTGCTTAAGAACTTTCTATGGTTCCCCAATGCCTACATGGTAAACCTTAAGCTCCTCCACTGGAATCTGTGGCCTTTCCGGATTGGCAACCACCTCTCTGCTGCATCTGTCTTCCATTATTCATTACTTGTTTTTTTCTGTTTCAGTCAATTAGAACTGCTGACCCTTCCTCAAACATGCCTATCCTGGTTAAAATCTTTCTTATCCTTCAAGGCCAATTAGAAGCACTTCCTCCAGGAAAACTTCCTTCAGAAGACTGCCCAGGTCTCTTCTTGGTCCTCCTCACATACTATTTTGTATTGTATTAGAATAATAACAATAACCAATGCTTATTAAATACTAATGTACAAGACACTCTTCTATATTATCTCATTTAATCCTTACATCAATCTTATGAGGTAGTTGCTGTTATTATACAGGTTTTATAGGTTAAGAAACAAAGGCACAGAGAGGTAACTTGGGGTAAGTGACTTGCCCAAGATTACACAGCTAAAAAGCAAGTAAATCAAGATCTGAACCCAAACAGTCTGACTCCAGAGCCCATGCTCTCAATCTCTACTCCATACTGTCCAATTTTTATCCTTTCTATAAAACAAGGCTTCTTTGCTGCTCCCTTTGCCTGAAAATCTCCCCACACATCAATTCCTACCCAGTGCTATGGGAGGCACAACCACCTCCTTCTCCAAGCTGCATTTTCTGGTATATCACCAACCAGGATGGGTTAGGTGGTGCTTCTGGACTTCCTTCATCACAGCCCCAATCACTCTCTACTGAGTCAGCGTGTTCCTGGAGCCCAGCAAAGAGGCCTCAGATGGTGTTTGCTGAATAAAATGAATGGGGTCAGCCTTCTTCAGTTGGGAATTCCCTTATTGCCTAGCAGTCTTTCCAACAAGTCATTGAATGCTGATTGTACTTTCTAAGTAAAAGGTCACTGGCTTTGGTGAGGCT